ATTTATAAATGAGCTAGTGTGATGTATTTTCCACAATAAAAATACCTTAATGCATCAAATTTTTAATTATTGGAATTTAAGAAATCACAAAATGATTTCATTTCTTGTAATCTGAAAAAAAAATTCTGACAAACAGGGGCACATATGAGAGAAAAGGCTGTTTTAGTTGTTGGGGTGTGTGCGCACAGACATGAATTGTGATTTGTGGGTCACAGCCTTTTAAACAGCTGTCAGTGCATGGGTTAACACCTGAAACCAACTKCTTGGTTCCATTCGATGCGACGCGAGGAGAGTTTTTCCTTCGAGGCTTTTGGTAAAATCGCTCGCCGAATATTAGACGTGTCGCTTTTGGCTCAAAAGSTTCATGTTCAGCCAAACATCCGATACGTTTGTGTTCAAAGCAAGGAAAGGTATTTGGTTCAGAGCACAGGGGCAGAAGGCAAATCTCTATCAAACTCACAGTTTAACTGTGCGCAATAAAGAAGGAATGAAAATCCAAAGGGAAAAAAAAGAAAAGAAAAACACAAGCTTGTGTTTTGCCACTGAACAGTGAGCAGTCAGTTGTGTTGGTGCAGCTCCAATAAAAACAGAAAGAAAACTCAGAAGTCTAATAGAAATGATTGATAGTTTGATGCACGGAAGAGCTGGTCGATGGAGGGCCACATGACCTCAGGGTCCTCCCTCTGGAATCTGTAGATTTGTCTGCGTGGCTGAAGCAAAGAGGAAACCAGAGGGAGAAACGGGCAGGTTGGAGAATAATCAGCGAGAACTGCAATTTATTTTAAAATCTATAGATATTTTACACAAACACTGGTATAAATATCTTTTGAATCATTTCAAATCTCTTTTGTTTTTAGCAAATAACCTGTTGGTTTGACCTTAACTCTGAATATGTAGCCAAGTCTAAYAGAGGTTGATTTCCTTTGTATTTTATGTTAATTCTCACAGTTTATTTTGCATTACTCCCATAAAGGCTACATGGTTCACAGTGCTTCATACGACGACGTCCTCAACAATCGATGGGCCACCAAAGCCTCCGAAGGGACACATTTGGCTGTGGAGAATCTCAAGCCCAACTCCAGGTAACGCCACAAAACTGTTTGTTTAAATAAAAAACTGTTTGACATTTAGATAACAAAAAGTACAATCAATGCCAGAAACTAATTTCACACAGATTTACCTTGAAAATTCATGACTTGTGTGAATTGTATGAGAGAGTTTAGTTCTGTCAAGTTTTGTTTCTTTTCAAAACCCGGATGAATGTCATACCAGGGCTGACGTGGTTGTGAGCAGACTGTGAGGAATGCYTCCTCAGAGGGAAGTAAATTGGATAAATGGAGTCAGGCAAAGCAACAGATTCGATTCTGATGTGACATACTGTTAAACTCTGTTGATTTGGAGAATTCAGCAGAATGTAAACAGGCTACATTTGACACTTATTCACAGAAACAACCATCTCAGGCTGTTCCTGTTATTAGAGTTTCCGAAACTGTGCCTTACGTGAAACGGGTCAGGGGTTTTCAGAGTTTTCAAAATGTACTAATGGAAACATTCACCCGAGGGAGCTGCTGTTGGAGTTTAAAACCATTTTTTTGTTATTCAACTGTGCTTTTAGGGTTTTCCACTTATAACACTGTCCACCCCTAACCCTTTGAGCCCCTTTGATCGCTCAGTTGGTAGAGTGGACTGTAGAGGGTTCATATAGAGATCTTTAGGTCAATGGTTCATTTCTGTCTCAAAGGACTTCATCTGTTTATGGCCGTACCCTGAACATGCCTGATATCAACTGATGTCTGAAGCCAAGCAGGGTCAGGCCTGGTTAGTGCTTAGATGTGAGACTGCCTGAGAGTACCAGGTGCCATAAGCCTAACAGCAACCCTAACCCTGGACTTTAATTTCAACATTTTATCCAGCTTGTTCTGATGTCTCAGTAATCCAGGTAGAAAAGTCTAAAAAATGTTGAGTAGGTCCTCTAGATGGGTTCTTCTTTGTTGAAAGTGTTTCATCTGTTCTCCAAGCGACTTCTTCAGTCTGAGGAGTTACAGGTAGGCACAGCCTTAAGGCTGAGTCACACTACAAGATTTTAAACCAGTCGGCCTATTTTCAAAGACTGAGAAAGCCCACACGTGGAAAAAAAATCACGGCTATACCAGGTTTGGTCCKACAGTGTSTGGTRTACAGCCACATGGCAAGAGACAACACATCACACACGAAAAGATATTTCATTCATGATTCAGATGTCAGATTTTAAATCACGCGAGACTTCCTGAAATCTCGCGAGAATTCAGATGTCCAAGGAAAAATCTCGCGTGACCTCCAGAGAGACGTGAGTTCAGAGTAAATAAATATTTTCAACAAGGAAGACACAATGTTAATCGTTTGTGGACTGTTTTTGCCAGAGGAAAAACAATTCCAGGACTTTTAACATCCAGCAGACTTTCTGATGAGTCATGACAGTTTTTTTTTTTTTGTCTTCTGTATGTTGAATCCCCTCCGTGTTTACGTCACCTCGCTTTCTGATTGGCTACATGTCTCAATCACATGCTGAGAGCTCGGGTGAACACTAMACACACTGTGATATTGGGCCAAAAACTCAAACATGTTGAATATCCCCGATTTGAGGTCGGAGYGGTCTCGACGTCCTTCCGAGCCGACTAGATCACTCTTAACTCACCACCCATGGCAGGAATATCTGCTATGATTATCTTTAGTGCCATCAYGATAATCTGGACTTCCTTAAGATTGTCGGAAGGGCAAAAATCGGCACGATTTGCTTGTAGTGTGACGCCGGCCTTAAAAGCAGTACTTCCACATGGTRGAAAAGCAAGGACACTAGCTGYGTTACCATTGACCATGAAAATGCGCAAATTAGAATTTCAAAAACAAATTTGCTCAATGGAAACATGTAAATTTAGAAAAAAAAAGTTTTTCGACAAAATGGTTTTGCGCTAGGAAGAGGTGTTTTTTCGGTCGCATCKAAATTAATGTATTTCGCAAAACTGCGATGGAAACACTTTTTTCGCATCACAGGAGTCACGTGATCAAGAACCGGCTGTTTCTAYGGGTGAAAAAGACRACGAAGAAGATAACAGGAAGTAAAAGTAGTAGTAAAATCACCGAAGTAGTAAAAAAAGTATTAAACTCACCGACTACATTTTTCCAAAAATGCCGTATACGTAGCCGCTCCCAAGTATAAGGGKCTTGTCACTGGAAAGCCTCAATAAGATGCCGACGTCTCCTCTGATGATGAGCGCTAGTGTCATGGTAGCAACATGCTATGTGTTTACATCCATTGCCTCCATGTTTGTAATGACTTATCGCGAGAACAAACATATTCACGCGACTTTAATAACATTTGTTACTTAATAAAAACACAGCAATTGCAAGACTGTGTTTTTCGACATTAACAGAATATCGACAAAGTTTTGCGCAATGGAAACGCAGCTAATGACAATCAAAATGGTCTGCAGGACAATCAGCCTTACGATCGATCATTAGCACCCTTATTGTTGCCGATTGTTCACGTTGGGCTGAGTCACACTCTCTAAAACAGTATTATCCAAGTTCTACACCTGACCCTGACATAACATTTACACTAACTGGACTCTAAAACCTATCCTGACTGACCCCTGACCTGGTCCCTAATCATTAACAGGACTTAACCCTTAAAGTGCCTGTGACATCAAATGTTTGTGATAAATATGAATGCACTTTTGGAAAGATAACATGGACAACATATTGCAAAGGCAATTTCWCGCCACTGRGATGAACAGTTGTAAAGATGTTTGCATGTGAAGTAACAGGAAGTGATGTCAGGGGAATGTCTGCATGTAAACAGAGCATTGTTACAAYGGCTACAACACAGACARCARGGAGTTTTCTGTTTCTTTAGATCATTTTAGTCCCTATAAAAGAGAGRTGAAGAAAAGTCAGAGTTCAAAAAACATTGTTTTAATGAACAAAGATCAGAGAGCTTTCTTTCTTAAAGAGTTCCCCTTTGATGTCACTTCCTGTTTCACTTTAGATTAGCCAAATTCAAAGGAAAATATGCCAGTTATGTGACAAAATGGGTATAATTGTGTGTTTTAGGTCAATTTTCTTAAATATGAAGATATTTTCTTTGACTTTGTATTTGAAGGAAAGGCATGTCACAGGCACTTTAAGCCTCAGACTTCCAATCTAAAAAGTGTTGATGGGAGAGAGAGAGCCCAGAGTTCAACACAGTGAGGAACCTCAATGACATTTCCCTGCTTTGAACTGCACTAGATTGTCTTGGGGCGCTGTGGAAGAGTGGTTTGGGGAGTCATCCTGTAACTGGCGGGTTGTTGGTTTGATTCCCCGATCCTTCCGTCCCAGTCATCACGTCCTAGGGCAGGACTCTTCACCCACCTTGCCTRCTGGTGGTGGTCRGAGGGTWCGGTGGTGCCGGTGCATGGCAGYCTCTGTCAGTGTGMCCCAGGGCAGCGGTGGCTATGATGTAGCTACARTGTGAATGTGTGYATGAATGGGTGAATTATGAGGTGCTTTGGAATCYGTAGAGACTTGAYAAAGCGCTATATGAGTTCAGACCATTTACCATTTCGGTGACAGAATTACGGAATTTCTTTGTCCTCACTACAAGCTAGCTTATCAACTAATGATGTAGCCTACTACCTAAGTTGGTAACTTGCAAACTAGCTGTCATTAACAAACCCTGAATCTGTATCGTTTAAAAAAAGAGAAATAAACGATAAATGTGTTGGGACTTTTTTTTGTCACTTTGTGGCCTTTTATCTCCCGTGGCTAATATAACCCTAATTAGGTTAAGACAGTCGTATGATTTGGCTTTAAGAACAACAGCACGTTTTGTAAGCACAAAATAATTTTATCATTCTGAGCAGAGCTCTGATGAATAAAGTTAAAATAAGCTAATGGCTCCGTTTTGAACTCTGTTTTTACACTTTGGCTCACATTTACTGACTCCACTTGCTTCCTTTAGCCTCCTCATGCATGACATCATCGCTCTGCAGCTGCGTTGCTTTCTCGTCTCTCACTGAGTGAAAATATTTTGGTCAGTGTCGTCATGGCCCGTGTTGATTGGATCCAGGCTTTATGGTTGCATGTGATGAAACATTTTCAGTAATAAGTGATGGACCGTGAGCTTAATGTACGTATGTGGCCTTGTAGAGTGAAAGGAAAAAACCTGTATGCGTACATCTGTCATCTGCCGTGGAAATATTTTGCAAACTCTTAAAGGTGTCCCTCGTGTTATGTTCAGTGATAAAACTTCATAATTCTTTAAAGTCAAAGCATGCTCGTTGAAGGGCTTTGTTTTGATTTTTTGGTAATAAAACGTGACATGCAGTAAAACTCCCAATCGGAAACTTCCCAGTGGCCCATGTTTCCATTCACATTCAAATTATCTCTGCCTCACTTTTTCCACTCTCATTAATTTTCTCCACTAATTTGTTATTTTCGTCCCTTTAGATG